AAAGAAGAAAAAAGAATAGAGAAGAAAATGAAGAAGTAGTAGAAGCAAAGAAGAATGTTATCACGTCATCAAGTTACATGCACGCTCGTGATAGTTAATCCATTTAACGTGGAGTCGCTCCACTGGCACACAACTATCACTTTTCATCACGAAAGTCTGATGCCCAGTGGATTGAAAAGTAAATTTGCATGCACATAGTTCACTGGCTGACGATGAAAAGTCACCGAACGTGTCGAACGTGTTGTATTAATTAAATATCACCTTTCACAGGAGACTATGCTCCACTGAACTCGTGATATGTTGACGCTTTTCACGAAATCTAACCAGAAACTTGGACGTGTCGAGGAAGTGGAGGGTAGGGAAGAAAAAATATATGGTGGCCAGTTCGATACAGCTGTTGCAGAAACGGGATATGCAAATGAACAGTTAACTCGAATACAAGATAGTTATCTGGCTCTAAAAAAAAAAAGCTTGTACGCGATGTTACGTAAATCATAGGGAAACATTACCGGTCGATGATCGCAACTTACTGGATCATTATACATTAAGCGAGGAGAAATCTGCATGTACATATGTGAAATCGTCAGAGAATTTCTGATTGTATTCTCTGGAGATGACAATAGAAATGATAAGCTTCAAATGACAGTTTCATATAAGTTTTGTACATGCTTTTCTTTAAGATAGATAGATAAAAATAAACATTGTATAATCCTATTTTACAAAAAAGTAGTTGATGAGATGATTATGGAAGAACTTGGAAATTTTGATTCATGCAGATTAAATTTGATTATTTCGAAGGATTTTGTAACTAAACGATGAAGCAGAGCAGCTAAGCGACGATTAACTGTGGAAATATCGTAGAATCTTGGCTGAACCTTCGGCCATACCGTTACTCGATGACGAGTAAAAATCTCAGCTAATGTCGAAGAAATGGGGGGAACAGTTTCACGGGTAAAGAGATCCATTACCAAATGACAATCATCGGTTAGCTTCTCGCTTCAAACAGCGGTTTTCACGTAATTTCAAAATTTATCAAAGGAATCCTCTTCTCATAGAAACACCTGCAAAGAAAAGAAAAGAGAAGAAACTAGCTGAAAGAGATAAAAGACTAGAGAAATGTCTTTTGTTTGAGGAAGCTGCTCAAAAGACATTCGGTTTCGTGCAAATATACGGCAAGTAAGCCAACATCTAACGGGAAACTGCGTGGCAGCCGAGAAAAAAATGTCCCCATCTGATGGCATCTGACGTGATGCAGCGCCGTTTGCATGGACCACCCGATATAAAAAAAAAGAGCATTACCTCAGACTGCAATTTGCTACTCTATTGCATTCGTTAATCGATCTTTTATGATTTACTCCTTTCTGTTGATTCATTAACGCATTTAGAATACCGTTGCCATCCTTTGATTCATAATTCATGTCCTTGCAGATGTTTTCCATAATTTGAAAAAATAAACTGATGCAATAGGAAATAGCGTGAAGTACCATTTTAACAATTTTAAATCAAACAGTAATATGAACAACTATTTAATATAAATTGCCCCATTAATTTTGATTCAATATTTATAATAAATATTATAAATCTTAAGTGTTTTCATTTTATAAAACTGATGTATACTCATTTCATTGATTTCAAATGAAAAATCAATGATACGCCAATTGCAATTTGAAATATTTAGAGGCAAGATCAGCATATTCAATTCAGCAGAAATTTCAATTAAAATTCCGTGCTAACTTTATATTTATAATAAATAAATGTTTATAATAAATAAAAGATACTCAAAAACTTTTTATTTCTGGTATAATTGTTCAAGTTCGAGAATACTATACACGTTTCCAAGTTCATCACCGCGTACACCGTTAAGAGGAATGTCGTAGGAAGCTTCTCTCGAACACGTGTGCTCGCACAGCAAGCATAATTACGCGAATGTATAAAAGTAAATGGAAATCTGCGTGTACTCACTGTGAATGCGAAGTGACGTATCCTCGTGAAATCGGCACTAGTCGTCCTATAGATATTCAACGACTTTGCTTGACGATGCGGCGTTCCGAGGTCAAAACCAGCACGTGAGTCACTTCATCTGAAAGAAAATTTAGAATAAGAGAAGGAATCAATGTATTATTGAACCTGATACTTACAATGTTTTAATTATCTCTGCAGAAAAACGACTGGATGAATTTAAGATTAATTTGATAACGGATAAGAGCGTGTAACGATGTCTGAAATGGAAAAAAAGTAAGGCGATTAACGGTCAGATGTGCGTAACAGCTGCAAGAGTAATAATTTTGCGTGATCTGGCATCAAAGTGAAATCCAATAAATACTGAATAGCATTTGAATAATCTGATGAATTATCATTGGCCCCACAAATAACTGCTGTAATTCCACTGCAATTCTTGTTGCAACAAAATTAAATAATTAATTTATATAAAAGTTACAACACAGTTATTATATTATTCATTGTTATCAAACATGCTTCAAAATTAGTAAAATGTTTATTATAAATATGAAATATAA